CCACTTAGCTCAAAGCCATAGATCAAAACATACAATAACTCATAATACATATACTCTATTACTGCCATAATACCATAGTGAGATTAAACTCAATCCCTCATAAGCTTATGCAACACAGACCATCTAGTATTTCAAATCTTCTGTAATTCTCGCATTCACCCTCGCAACAGTCGTGCCTACTCTCATAAGCGATCCAAACTCAAATTGCAACAACACACATATATTTCACTAGTAAAGAGGACTTCCAACCAACAACATAGGGGTCACACAAACCTCAGAGCACTCCGCAGGAGATAACCCACTTGCTTAGCCTCAAACTAGTATCTCTCTATATTCATCCATAATCATAACTTTTACCCGATCACTTAACCTTCCTGAGTATGACCTCATATCGCGACATGAAATTTACTTTATTCCTCAACTAGACAACATGAAAAGATCCTTCAACACACCCATAACTCGGGGCTGCACATCAAATCAAGATGGAAATCAAGCACCAAATCGTTCTTCCTACCCTCGAGTAGACCATTTTTGTCACATCTAAATCATATGAATAGATCTCTTAGTCACATCATACTCGTCACATAACCATCCAACCATCACTTCCACTAATAGGGACGCTACCGAATATATAAATCCAGAAGCACGTGCTCACACAATCAACGCCTTAGCGCTCAAGCTACAGGCAAAAATCTGGCCTCGAGTCCTTTAGACTGTCCTAACATCAACACACAGAAACCACATCTCGCCCCTCAATTAGGGAAATCACAAGTCGTCGATGCACAACTGATAACGAGCGCTCATATGCGCATACGAACGCGTGGAAGGAATTCAAAGGGTTATATTTCAGGCTGAATAAATAACGCACGACAAGAATTCAAGAATGTGGGATTTCCTAAAGGTTCTGCAGCCTCTCGAGGATAAATACAGACGTCTCTGTTCCGATCCGTGAGACTTTACTAAACTTGCTCATGACTCGTGAGACCTATGTAACCTAGGCTCTGATACCAACTGTCACGACCCCAAATACCCCCATCGTGATGACGCCTATCACAGTACTAGGCCAGCCGAAACAACACGAACCACAAGGAAGATCTTTTGTAAAATTTACTCTTTTTCTAAACAGATTTAAGTCTCAATTCTTTCATTTTTAAATATCAAGAGAAATACGCGGAAACAAATACGAAAATACAATCAACACAGCCCGAATCTGGTATCACTAGTCATGAGCCACTAAGTACAACTCAACACTGTTTGCTTAATACAAATTAAGTCTGAAATATAAAGAATTAGGATAGGAAGGAGAAGGGCAGGGCTGCAAACGCCGTGCGGCTACCTTGCTAACTCCGGAAAATACACAAAAGCTGCTGAAAGCTCAGAAATGCCTGAATCTGCACACAAGGTGCATGGAGTAATGTGAGTACGCCAACTCAGTAAGTAATAAAAGTAAATAAAGACTGAGCAGTAAGAAATCAAATAATCCACGTCATAGCACCACAACGGGTACAGTATGTTTCCAAAACAGGATACTAATCAAATCATCTCGTTAAACTCCAATTTCAGTAAAATCCTCTGAAAAAATAACTCTCTAACAGTTTCAATAGAGGTTCAATGTAGTTTATAGTGAAAGTGATAAAAATCGTAATCGGCCCCTTGGGCAAAAATAAATCATAAACAACCCCTTCTGGCTAACCCCTCGGTCATTCATATACATCACATAACATGAAGATCTCGGTGGAAATAACAAAAAACCAAATTAGTAATTTAATTCCAAATATCTCGTAAAAAATCCAGTTTCAATGGAAGTTGTCCAAAACATTTGTTTAACATTCTCAATGGAGGCTCAGTATAAAGATGAGTGAAAACAGTAATTTCATAAAACAAGCCCCTCAGGCAAAGCATCACTCATATACATGTATATATAGCACCTCGGGCAAGCCTCTCAGTCACTCATGACTCACCTCTCATCAGTCAGCGCTCACACTCAGCACTCACGCTCAATAGGTACCATATAATAACCGTTGCGGCATGCAGCCCGATCCATATATCGCTGAGGCGTGCAGTCCGATCCATATATATAGTCGACTGCGCTCACTGGGGGTGTGCGAACTCCGGAGGGGCTCCTACAACCCAAGCGCTATATCGCTGCAGCGTGCACCCCGATTCAATATTGCTGCGACGTGCACCCCGATCCGTATATCTATATATCACTACAGCGTGCAACCCGATCCATAAATATATATAATATCGCTGTGGCGTGCAGCCCGATCCATAAATATGTATAATATCACCATCGGGCCCTTGGCCTCTCTCAGTCATCAACCTCACAATCAGACCCTCGGTCCCTCTCAGTCATCAGCCTCACAAGCCACTCGGGCTATCAGTAACACAGGGTGCTCAGCCCAAAAATATCATTTATAGCATCAAAACTGAGTAAATAAGGCTGAGTTATGAAATCAGTAAAACGTAGCATGACTGAGTGTAAATATTAAACCAAAATAGTGAGGAAAACAGTAGTAAAGAGCCCCTAAGGGTCCAAACAGTTGGCACAAAGCCCAAATATGGCATTCAGCCCAAAACATAGAAATTTTTTCCAAAACACAATGATATCAAACAATTTTCAATCAAATATGCGACTTAACAGTCGCACGGGACGGACCAAGTCACAATCCCCAATATTGCACGACCCCACGCTTGTCATCTAGCGTGTGTGTCACCTCAAAGTAGCACAACGATGTGAATCCGGGATTTCATACCCTCGGGACAACATTTACAATCATTACTTACCTCAATCCGGTCCAAACTCTAGCCCGCGATGCCTTAGCCTCTCGAATCGGCCTCAACTCACCCGAATCTATCCAAAATCAGAATCATAACATCAAAATAGGCTAAAGGAATAAAGCCCACGCGAAAATAACCAACTTTACTCTAAAATCCCGGAATTGGCCAAACCCGACCCCCGGGCCCACGTCTCGGAATTCAATAAAAATTATAACACTAGAATCCTTATCCTTCCACGAGTCTATATATACCAAGATCATCAAAATCGAACCTCAATTGGCCCCTCAAATCCTCAATTTAACTCTCGAATTTCAAGCACTAATTTCTCAAACTCTTACTCTAATTTTTCCACTAATTTTCATGATTAAACAATGAAATAATCACCATAAATACAAGATACAAAGCCCAAGTAGCTTACCTCTCCGTCAACACTTGATTCCCTCTTGAAATCACAGCTTGGAGCTCCAAAATCGCACAAAAATGATGAAGAAATGACTGAAAATCGCGAAGGGGCATTTTTATACATTCTGCCCAGCACTCTCGCACCTGCGAACCCTATCACGCACCTGCGGGCCGCTTCTGCGGTCAAAATGACCGTACCTGCAATTTTAACTTAAGTCACAAGGACCGCATCTGCGCCCAGGCACCGCACCTGCGGTCCCGCAGATCCGTCCAAATAATCGCATCTGCGGTTCTTCTCCTGAAGGCCAAACTCGCGTCTGCGATCTCCTCATCGCTTCTGCGGCCTCGCACCTGCGGTTCCCAATCCGCATGTGCGGAAATGACAGGAACAGCAAAATCTGCTGCACAACTCAAGTTTCAAACTTCTCGTCAACCACTCAAAACCATCACGAGACCCTCGGGACCTCAACCAAACATACCAACAAGTCACATATCATCATTCAAACTCATACCAACCCTCGGAACACTCAAAACAACATCAAAACACCAAATCACCCTCGGATTCAAGCCTAAGGATTTCCAAACTTTCGAATCCCGCAATCGATCCAAAAACCTATCAAACCTCATCCGAATGACCTGAAATTTTGCACACACGTCACAAATGACACAACGGACCTACCCCAATTTCCGAAATTCCATTCCGACCCTGATATCAAAATTTTCACTACCAATCAGAAAACGCCAAATTTTTAATTTCGCCAATTCAAGTCTATATCTACCACGGACCTCCAATTCACATTCTGGACGTGCTCCCAAGACCAAAATCACCCAACGGAGCTTACCAAAACATAAAAATCCGAATCCGATATCGAATACTAAAAAGTCAAGACTGGGTCAAACCTTTCAAATTTAAAGCTTCAAGCTGAGAACCATTCTTCCATATCCATTCGACGGTTTACATAAGTTACAATACATAATACGGGGCTAGTCATGCCTGAGAACTGGCGAGCGAAGTGCAAATGCTCAAAACGACTGGTCGGGTCGTTACAACTATTAAGATACATAAAATGGATCCAGGCTTTTTGTCGAATAATTAAGATATTTACTTTAGAGTTGACAGCAAATGAAGACAATATCAATGTTACTATAGATTTTGAGGATTATATCCATGGTTTGCATTTTCACATTCACTTAAAACATCATTCCTGTCTTGTTTATCTACAAACAAATTTACGTGCAATAAGGACATGCCATGGTTCCATTTTTCTTTAATTTATTCCCGAGAGAAATGAGCTATAAAACTTTATGATCATTAGTTGTTGTTTCCTCATTCATGCGCGTATTACATGCCTTGGCTCTATTGTTCTTTAATATTTTTTTTTTGGTAAGACGCAAGCTTGAATTGCTACAATTGAACTACACGCTAGATAAGTAAAAAATGAAAAGCACATGACAATCAATTAACTAACTACATATATATCAATTCTAAACTACTTGAAGTCGACATATACAAAGCTCAAGAGGATTGAATATACCTATTCTCTGCTACGTTAACTTGTCATAACCTTTTTTTTGTTAGAAATTGGAACCTGCTATGCTGATAGCTAGGTTGAGTTGAAATCAAATGGCAGCACATTCTTAGGATTTTGGTGTTTTTATTAAACTTTTATAAATGGGAAAAGAAAAAAGAAAAAATGAAGAAAGAAAATAAACGTGCATTTTCCCACAAAATTCGNTTACCAAAACTTAACGGTCGACGTGGATAGTGGTATAGTAGTACACTTAGTCTACTTAGTTCTCCTCCTCTCTCTCTCTCTCTCTCTCTTTCTTCTCATTGAATGTTGAGAGCATCGGTTACCTTTTCTTCTTTGTATCTACAAACACAATTTCAGTTATTCACCACATCATGGAATTAGAAGCAAGATATTGACTATTTGCCATTTGCGAATAGAGATTAACAGTACTAGCTAGAGAGGAGAAATGGCTGAAGAGATCATCAATGCAAGCCAATATTCTCCCCCTGAAGAATCAAATATTGCCGTTCCTCGTTCCACAAGAAAAAAGGGAGGATGGACAGCCATCGCATTCATTCTTGGTAAAGACAAAAAACATCCAATTCATCAACACAGATCAATAGTGTACGTACGTAAACAAAAAAATAAATACTATGTAAAGACCATGTTGATGATCTCTTTGTGTGTGTGATTGTTTCTGAAGGGAATGAATCGTTTGAGAAACTGGCGTCGGTGAGTTTGATATCCAACATGACCACATATTTGCGGATCAAATACAATATGGGGGGAGTATTTTTGGTGAACGTGGTGAGTATATGGTCTGGCTGTTCCAACATTACACCTTTAGCTGGTGCTTTCTTGGCTGATGCTCACCTTGGCAGATTCCTCACTCTCCTCTTTGGTTCCCTTGCTTCTTTCCTGGTACATTTCTTCCTCACATACTCTTAAACAAATTTCTTTTATTTTTGCGCAAATTTTGGTTTTAAATTGCTATATAAACATATGGTCTGCTTTGAACCAATCGCGCACAGTTTCCCAACCAAAATTCTTATACCATTAAGAGTATTCAACACCTTATAAGTAAATTTTTTTCTTTTCTACTTTCCTTTTGCGCAAATTTTAGTTTTAAATTAATATATATATATATGGGGCTAAAATCTCGATATGTATGTGAGTCTAGTAGCAAGGTATGTGGTCCTAGCGGACGTAGGCTTTTGGCGACAGATTCATCTGAATCTAGAACTGTACAATTAAAATCTTAACAACTATTAGATTTGAACCTATATGCAAAGTTAAACTCATTAAATTTAAATCCTGAATCCGCCTATGATATTAGTTAACAACCGGTTGAAAGCCCCCAATTCTTGTTCTTTTGGCAGGGGATGGGGATGGTGACATTAACTGCTGGAGTAGATAAACTCAGGCCACCTAATTGTCAGGGCCTTGCAACTTGTTCAGATCCACAAAAGTGGCAGCTTGCATTCCTTTTTGCAGGTCTTGGATTTATGGCTGTAGGTTCAGGAGGTATCCGAGCTTGTAACATTGCCTTTGGGGCTGATCAATTCGATACTAATACAGAGAAGGGAAGGTCTCAACTCAAAAGTTTCTTCAATTGGTGGTACTTCTCATTCACCATTGCCCTTATCATTGCCCTCACAGTTGTTATCTACATCCAAACCAATATCAGCTGGTTTATTGGCTTCCTAATCCCAACTTGCTGTTTAGCTCTTTCCATTATGATTTTCTTGATTGGTCGCAACACTTACATTCGTTTGAAGCCTCAAGGATGTGTTTTTATCGACATGGCAAAGGTTATAAATGCAGCATACAGAAAGAGACATGTTCGCATTGTACCATCAGGGAATTCCCTTTATGAGCCTGTCCCTAAGGAAACTGCAGAAAACCAGATATCAGTACTTAGGCATACAGACAGATTCAAATGCTTAGATAAGGCCGCTGTGATTGTGGATTCGAGCACTGAATTGAATGCTGAAGGAGTTGCTAAAGATAGCTGGAGACTTTGCAATGTTGAACAGGTGGAAAGGCTGAAATGTGTTGTTGGAATATTACCTGTTTGGGTAGCTGGAATCACTTGTTTCATCACTATGGAACAGATGAATACATTCGGGGTTCTTCAAGTAATTCAATCCAACACTAGAGTTGGGAATTTCAATATTCCTCCCGGGTGGATGGGATTAGCATCCATGATTGCCCTGGCTATATGGATCTTCATATACGAGTGTGTATACGTTCCCAATGCATCGAAAATCTCTAAGAAGGAAGCCAGGTTGTCCCTCCAAATAAGAGTCAAAATAGGCATTTTCATGTCAATTCTTTGCTTAGCAGTAGCTGCATTTGTTGAAACAAGGCGCCGAGACTTAGCCCTGAAAGAAGGCACATTCATCTCTCCACTTGGAATCGCATTCTTTTTGCCTCAATTCATTCTATCAGGGTTGACAGAAGCATTTGCCGCGGTCTCAGTCATGGAATTCTTGAATAACCAAGTACCAGAGACAATGAGAAGTGTAGCTGGAGCAATATTTTTCTTGAGCTTAAGCATTGCCAGTTACCTCAACACACTCATTGTCAATATAGTTGAGATGTTAAGCGGGCTACACGGCGGAAATCCATGGTTGGGAGGTCATGACCTTAACCAAAACAAGCTAGAACGATTTTACATTCTTATTGCTGGTTTGGGAGTACTAAACTTCATATACTTCCATTTTTACGCCAGCCGTTACATTCTAAGTTATGAAGAGTCGAAGAGGAGACAGACTGTGTTGGAAACTCGCATTGATCATGTAGACCTGCCAGAGAAGAAACCATGAAAATTGGAGCAAATTAATATGGATTAGTGATCCAAATGAAGTAATTGAATCAAGACATGAGTTAATTAGATTTATGTCTTTATATATGTTTGCTAAGCATGCTACTTTATTAGTGGTCACTGTCAAATATTAATTGGGAAATCTACACAAAATGCCCATTTGGGCCAAACTAATTACCCACTCAAAACTTTTTACATAATGAGATCTTTACGGAAATAGCCGGCGATATTTATATATATGGATTATACATTAATTATACATAATTATATACATATAATACATAATTATAGATATATTATAACTCAATCGGCTATTTTTAGTTTAAGTGGTTGGGTGGCGGCTATTTGGGTTAATTCTTCTTACATAATACACCCATGCGGTCCAAGATATTTACCTTGGCTTTGTACTGGCATTCCCCTTTTCCCGTTAATTACTCTTTGTCTTTTTGTATTTTCTCTCTCCTATTTTTTCCTATTTATCCTAACTTTTCCCTGCCATTCCTTTTCTCCCATCGATTACTTTCTCCCTTTGTCCCATTAATTACTTTATGTCTTTTTGTGTGTTTCTTCTCCTATTTTTCTTACATTGCACGTTATTCATCTTTTCAACGTATGTGCTTTTGTTTGAAGGCTTCAAGAGCCTCGTTGTATTTTTTTTTTTTCCTTCATTCATAGATCAAGATACCCCGATCCAAAACGTCTCATTAATGAACTCCATATATAAGTTAACTCTTCAATCACATACGGAGGTGGTTCCAAGATTTAAATTTAATGGGTTCATCTTTTAAGGTTTTAGCATTGAACTTATTATACTGTTAAAATTATGGGTGTTGAGATTTTAATAGGTTTTTATATATAAATCTATACTTTGTGTCGGAAGTTATGGGTTAGTTGAACTCGTATCCGAAACGCTACATCCGCTCGTAACCACATACTGCGATTAACTAACTCTGAGAATTATTGTTACTAGGACTTATTATATGATGCACAATCTAATGACAAAGAAAAAAACGAAATATAAATTTCTTTAAAAAAAAAAGAGCCAAAAAAAATGATATATTGTAATAATATGCATTATTTCAGCTGAAATTTGAATAAAAACATATTTACCCAATAGTATACCGCTACGGTATCACATTATATTGTAAGAGTATACAATTATATTACAATAATATACCATAATAGTATACATATATACCGAAACGACATACTATAATAATATGCAACTTTTCAGCAATAAATTAAATTAAAACACTGTTGCCCAATAATATACCGCCATTTTATCACAATATACTTTAAGAGTATATTATAATAGAGTATATAGTTATAACGCAACGGTATACTATAATAGTATACATATATACCGAAACATTATATGGGTCGGTCGCGTAATTATTTATATGGGTAGAATCAGGATAATTATTTTGATTTCTATCGGTAACCCTGTATATATCCCAATATTAATGTTCCTCAATGCTTAAAAGATTGAGTAAATGCTGTAGGACTATATAGGGGCCGGATAATATACACTCCAACAACACCTATTACATCTTAATTCCGAGCAAATTAAGATTTTACTGCCATATCTCTTCATGTAAGCTCTGTCTCAATGCAATATTATATAGACTTATTTTCTCACACTGTAAGTTCCTTTACCTTTTTAAAAATCTCTAATGAGAATCTAAAAAATTTCTATTTTCAATGTCATTTCAGATCACAATAAGCTGTTATCAATTAAAAATAGGATCTGGAATACAAATTCGACTGTAGTATATTTTAATCTTTAAATTCAAATAAATTTTGAACAACATTGATAACATGTTATTATTCGAAAGGAAAGACTGGTTTTATAGTTTTGTGCTAACAAAAGCTTAACAGGGCTTCGTCAATCTTCGTAGGCTATGTTTCTCTAATGGTGGTTGAAACATTAGCTGTATATTAGGACTGAAAATTTGACAACAATATGGTTTCCGTATATACTTGTAGAGTCAGACTCTTTACCTCTAAATATGCAATGCCAAATTGGTTAGCCATTCACCAAATATGGCAAACTATAATCGTGAGGGCAACTTTCACTAGCCGATTACTTAACAAAACAAGGTGCTACAGGAAATACAATTTCATTAGCCTGTCCTAGTGAATTATTTCCTTCTATGTTGCCAAATACCAAGTTTTAGATTTCTTATAGCAAAGTATTAAACTATTAATCATATAATTTTGAATCTTGTACAGTGTTGTTGAACTATGAACAAAATTTCCGCCGAAGTTTTTTACACCATATATAGCTTGGTATCTAATTTATCATAGGCGTGCTTGAGTATTTAACTCTCATTACACGCAGATTTCCTATTCTATTATTAACAATAGGCCAAGTTTAGTGGGAATTAGAAATTTCAAAGCTGGGTATTTCACGGCTCTTCATTCCAGGAAATACTGAACTCGTTAAAGCTGCTATTGATCAAGTTGAGAAGCGAGAACGATATGTTTAACCTCCACTGGCGACTAATAATGCTAATTTTGACAGGATTTGTAGACAGGATCCTGCATTTCTTTGATAAAGATTCCAATAAATTGACAATTCTATATGCAGTTACGTTATAGAATACTACATTATATACTCGTCGGGTTATTTTATCTTTCAATTTAGCTATAAACATATGGTAAAAAATATTTGACCACTTCAGAAAAATATACAACGCAGTATATATATATCTCTTTTTTCCAATTTCACCTCGAGGCATATAGTCATTAATCAAGAGATACAATAATTAATCAAACGCCCATTATAATTACTGAAATTAAATGATTTTCTGAATGTGTGTGTCCAAACTTTTATACAATAAAAAAAAAATTATTTGGAGGGAGTATAGATAAAAAGAAGATCAAAAATCTAGCAGTTTTGTAGTAATGGAGCCACATGTTGATCAATCACAAAACTAATAATATAAAGGACCCGTTTGGTCATGAGTTTTGCCAAAATAAATTTGGGATTTATTTTCAAAACTCATGTTTGGCCATAAATTTTGCCCACATTTTGGCAAAATCCCAAATCCCATAATCACCCCAATTGCTGATTTTGGGCCAAAATTCCAAAACTTGGGAATTTTATACATGTTTTTCCAAAATAAAATTGGAAAATATGTTTTGAAAATGTATGTCCAAACACATTTTCATCTTCAAATTAGACTTCACCCAAATCAGATTTTTCAAAACAAATTTGGGATCTATGGCCAAACGCTAGCTAATTAAGCACTTTTTGTCCATGAAAGGAAATTAATATTACGATAACAATATGCTCAATAGATTTATATTATATAACTAGTTCTGAACTAACAGTAACAAGCTAATAAGTTAAGGACACTTGGTTGAACTTTATGAGCAGAAGGGTATTTTCATCCGGGCGGGTAAAAGTTTATTAAGGCAGTGGCTAAAGACTAAAGACATTTAAACAGTGGCTTAAAAGTAAATACATGTCTTATTAGTGGCTAACTGTGCAACCCTTCCC